ATCTTTTCTCAGAAAAGAAAAGAAAAACTAGTTCAGTGGCACCACACCTGCCTCACAAAGGCAAGGTCCAGAGCTCAATCCCTGATACCAAAAAAAAACCAGACAGACAGAGACAAAGAGAGGAGCCAGGTGCGGTGGCACATGCCTGTAATCCCAGCACTCAGGAGGCTGAGGCAGGAGGATTGCTGTGAGTTGCCTGGACTGCTACATAGTGAATTCCGGGTCAGTCTCAACTACATAGTGAGACCCTGTCTCAAAAAACTGAGAGGAAAGGGGAGGGGAGGGGAAGAAAGAAAAAGAAAGTGGGGTGGATTCCAGCAAGGTGTTAGAGGTCTACAATCCCTGAGGCAAGAGGATCATAAAGGCCAGTCTGGACTACATGGTGAGGCCCTATCTTAAAAAAAAAATCCCACCAAATATCAGGTGTGATGATGCATGTCTGTAATCCCAGCACTAAGGGAGGCTGAGACAAGAGGACAGCAAGTTTGAGTCTTCCCTGGACAATTTAGCAAGACTCTATCTCAAAGTAAAAAATAGGAAAGGGTAAGGATGTAGCTTAGTGGTAGAATGTCCCCAGATTTGATCCCTAGCAGGAAAATTTTTTTTAAAGTATTCTTCTGGATTTTTTTGTTTTGTTTGCTTCGGTGACAGTGAAGACTGAACCTAGAGCCATCCCACTGAGCTACATCCCCAAACATTTTTTTATTTTTTTGAGACAGTCTCAAAAGTCTCTAAATTGCCCAGGTTAGGCTCAAATTTGTGACACTTCAGGGGATTTAGCTCAGTGACACTGAGCCTGCCTCACAAGTGCAAGGGCCTGAGTTGATCCCCAGTACCACAAAAAAACAACAAAAAAAACAACCAATAAAATTTGTGACCTTTCAGAGTGCAGGAATTACAGGCATGCATCACCACACCCCGCCCCCTGGCTTTTCTGCGCCATGCATTCAGTCCACAGAGTGAGGCCACTCTGGGTAGGAGTCATGTGGCCCAGAATAGATTCAGAGCTCACCTGGTGAGGGTGACTGAACAGGGAGTGAGTGGTAGTTAGTCACAGAGTACTGAAGCCCAGAAGGGGTCAGACATAGAAGGGTAGCCTGACATGGTGGGCCAAAGTGACTTGAAGAGGGAAATCCCCAGTGGGGTGTGGTGGTACACGCCTATAATCCCCACACCCTAGGAAAATGAGACAGGAGGATCTCAAATTCAAGTCCATTCTGGGCAATTTAGCAATTTAGGAAGATCCTAAATCAAAATAAATAAAAAACAGGACTGGCACTGTGACTCAGTATGAAGGCCCTGAGTTCAATCTCTAGTTCCTCAAAAAGAAAAAAATGAGGGCATCCTGAGAGACAGCCCAGGATATACTATAAAGTGTCAAACCTAAGCAGGATAAAGGATTTAGCTCAGTGGTACTGCCCCTGCCTTACAAGTGCAAGGTCCAGAGTTCAATGCCTATGCCTGGTATCGCCAATAAATACATAAACAAACAAACAGGGCCAGGGATTTAGCTCAGTGATTCTGCCTCCTGCTAAGCAAGGACCCCTTTGATTCCCAGTACCAAAAATAAACAAACAAACAAAACCTAAGCAGGGTAAAGATTATCAATAAATGACCCAAGCCAGGAGCCAGGTGTGGTTAAAACACTACAGTAATCCCAGCTTTTGGGAGGCTAAGGCAGAAAGATTGCTCTGAGTTTGAGGCCAGCCTAAACTACAGTAAATTCAAAGCCAGGCTGAACTACACAGCAAGACCATGTCTAAAAAGAAAGAAAATATGTGTAGCTCTAAAGCCAATTGTGGTGGCACACATTTGTAATGCCAGCTGCTTAGGAGGCTGAGGCACAACGATCACAAGTTTGAGGCGGGCCTGAGCTGCTCAGCAAGACCTTGTCTCATAACAAAATTTTTTGAAGGGCTAAAAATGTAGCTTAGGGCAGAGTTGTCCTACCATGTGTGACGTCTTGGGTTCAATCCATAGCACTGCAAAAAAAATGTGTAACTATCTGCCAATAGTCTGAGAACAGTAACATCTTAACAACGAGTCCATTTGGCACCCAAATCCTAATTTCTATGTATCATTCTTAACTAAAAGTGAAATGGTTAACTACAAACTGGGTCATGAAAAGTACAGGAATGACTAGTATTCAAAGAATGATGAAGATATGAAAAGAATAGGAGCTAACTTGAAAGGTAACTCATAGGCTATACGTGGGACAATCTGAGGAACAAAATACATGTCAACTTTCTTTTTTTTTTGAGACAGGGTCTTGCTATGTAGTTCAGGCTGACCTCGAACTCATGATGATCCTCCTGCCTCTGCCTGAGTGCTAGGATTACAGGTGCCACCCTGCCCAGCTACCTGTCAATTTTTAATCCACTAAATAAAAGAGACCACCCCAAGTCCATACTGACAAATAATAGAATAAACTGAATATTTATGCTGGGGCTGTATCTCAGTGCTAAAGTACTTGCCTAGCATGCACAGGGTCTTGCACTGGATCCCCAGGCATCTCAAAGTACATCCCCCAAAATACTTCATAATTATAGGGCCGGAGATTTAGTTCAGTAGTGCCGCTGCCTGCCTCACAAGAGCAAAGACACAAGTTCGATCCCCAATACAAAAAAAAACTTCATAATTACAAATGTGGAAAACAGCAATTTCTGGAAGATGTTTCTTTTCAAATTAATATTAGTAATAATAATGCACCTATAATTTCATAAGCTACAAAAAGAAAAAAAGCCACATTACTTCTATGATATTCCTGTCAATGTTGCATAAACTCAATATGAGGAAACATCAGAGGAACCCAAAGACAGAGATCTGCTACAAAATAACTGGCCCAGCTAGCTGGACATGGTGGTACATGCCTGTAATCCCAGCACTTGGAAGGCTGAGGCAGGAGGATCGCTGTGAGTTCAAGACCAGCCTGGGATACATAGTGAGTTCCAGGTCAGTCTCAACTACATAGTGAGACCCTGTCTCAAAAAAAAAACTGACCCATAATCTTGAAAAGTGCAAAAGTCATGAAAGTCAAGAAAAAAATTTGCCAGGAGTGGTGGTATATGCCTGTAATCCCAGGGCTCTGAGAGACTTGGGCCAAAAGATTACAAACTCGAGCCCAGCATGGGCAATTTAGCACTCAGCAAGATCTTGTCTCAACCTTAAAAAGAATTAAAAGGGCTGGGGATATGGCTCAGAGCAAAGGCCCACAGTTGAATCTTCAGCACAGCCAAAAAAAAAAAAGTTAAGTAAAGACTTGAAGGGCTGGGGATTTAACTCAGGTACAAGGACCCAAGCTCAACTGCCAGTACCAAAAAAAAAGACTTGAAGAAGCACATCAGATACAGGAAACACTAAAAAGACATGACAACTAAATGCTATAGGAAATCCTAATTGACTCCTTTTGCTATAAGGCATATGATTAGAGAGTGGTAAAAAGAATTAAGATGAGGGCCAGAGATTTGGCTCAATGGTTCTGTTGCCTGCCTGGCAAGCACAAGAGCCCCGAGTTCGATCCCCGGTACCAAAAAAAAAAGAAAAGTAAAGAATTAAGATGTGTTATGCACATGTACCAACTCCTCATGATGAATGGATTATATACTGCAAACATGTACTAATACAAATTTTAAAATTTAAAAATTAAAATTACTAGGACAGTTAGTGAAATCTGAATGGTGTCTGAGGATTATACAATAATATATCAATGATCATTTCCTGATTTTGACAGTTATATATTATGGTTCACAGAAAGAATGTAGAAAAAAATACTAAAATAATTCAGGATAACAGAGGGCTTTTGGGGGGAGGGGTTCTGAGACAAAATCTTGTTATGTAGCCTAGGCTAGCCTCCAACTCACAGCAATCCTCCTGCCTCAGCCTCCTGAATACTGAGATTACAGGCATGCACCACCATGCCTGTCAATTGGGCATCTTATTGACATAAATTTTACACTAGTCAAGTGTGATGGCACACAATTGTACTCTCAGCTACTCAAGAGGCTAAGGCAAGAGGATTTCCCTTTTTTCCTTTCTATTTTTAATTTTTTTGGTACCAGGGATCAAACACAGGCCCTTGCGCTTGTAAGGAAGGCAGTGGCACCACTGAGCTAAATCCCTGACATTCTATTTTTAAATTCTGAGACAAGATCTCACTAAGTTGCTTGACTGCCCATGCTTGAGTTGAATTTGCAATCCTCCTGCCTCAGCCTCACAGAATACTGGGATTACAAGGTATATAATACTGTGCCTGGCTCTTTTTTCTTTTTGAGGGGGTACCAGAAGTCAAACTCAGGACCTTCCCTTTGCCAGGCAGGTACAGTGCCACTGTGCTACATCCCCAACGTACCTGGCTCTTTTTCATTTTGAAACAGGGTTTCACTAAGTTGCCAAGGCACACCCTTGTGCTGCCTCAGTCTCCCTAAGTGCTGGGATTACTAACATGTGACAACACAACACCCAGTAGTTTACTCTTATTTTATTTTTTTGTGTGTGGTACTAAGGATTGAATCCAGAGGCACTCACCACTCAGTTTCATTCTTACCTCTTTTTTATTGAGACATGGTCTCCTTAACTTGCCCAGGCCAGCCCTGAATTTGCAATCATTTTTTCACTTTGAGACAGGGTCTCCCTAAATCATTAAACTGTCCAGACTGAGCTTGAATTTGTAATCCTTCTCCCTTAAAATCCAAGAGTGCTAGGATTATAAGCATCCACCACTATGCCCACCTAAATCCTTGTACAGTATATTTATTTGGGTTGCTAAAAGGTGATGGAGAATATTTGACGGGGCAAAGACTGTCCCATTTTCTTTAACGTGTTGCTGCCTCTCCAATTCTAGGCACACACACACACGCATAGACACACACACACACCTTTGAATTTGTACAAATTCTATCATGTTATTACTTTTCTCAACTCTGATACAAATTAGGTAGGTGTTCTGGTATAAGTCTACCTGCAGATATGAAAAGTTCCTGCCACAGTACTAATCTGCTCACCTCAAATGGATTCAAATTGAAGTAAGAGGAACCAGGACGGGTCAATCTTTCAATCTGATTTTTGGACGTTAGAACCGAATCTCTTTTCTCTATTTGTTTTACCTAAAATTAAGAGAGTTAAAAACTTCATTAGTAAAATTCAATAATAAACTAAATGTCTAACACAACACCCACATGTTCAGCAATTACTTACATATTTATCACACACAAGATATTTTCCTAAACACTTTGAGAAATAATTACAACTACCTTTTTTGTTTTTTTGTTTGTTTTTTGAGACAAGGTCTCACTATGTAGTTGAGACTGACCTGGAACTCACTATGTAGCCCAGACTGGTCTCGAACTCACAGTGATCCTCCTGCCTCAGCCTCCCAAGTGCTGGGATTACAGGTGTGTGCCACCATGCCCAGCTACAACTACCTTTTATTGTATTTTTAATAATAAAAACATTTTACATGTAATCATTAATTTCAATAATCATATTTGGTAGGATTACTATTATCCTCATTTTGTAGATAAGAAAACTGAGGGCTCAGAATAACTGACTTGTTTCTGACTTACTAACTTGTCAGCTAGACAAGTGTTTATTTTAATAGGGAAAAATACAATTACTCTTAAATCTGAACTATAACCTGTACTAAAAACCACTATGACAGTGAGCAAATAACATACCTAACTCTAATAACATTTTAAAAATCCCTGTCCCAAAGACAATGCCAGGAGAACAAATGCCAAGTAGGCCCATGGAAACATCTTGGGGTCCACTTTCATTTGGAATGCTAGCGGGAATGTATCTCTGGTATATTATATACCATCTTTATTCCTACAGCTAAAACAAGATTATGGGCTGGGGATTTAGCTCAGTGGTTCTGCCGCCTGCCTCGCAAGCACAAGGACCTGAGTTCAATTCCTGGTACCAAATAAATAAAGATTACGAAGAATTTCAGCAACAAAAAGTCATTCTCTCTCAACATCTACCCTCTTCACTATTTCAAAAATAATATGACCACTCTCCTCCATACAGCAAAACTCCCTTATCCTCTTTTACCAGACTTTGTGTCCCTGGTAACACTTATCACTACCTGGTACTAATTGTTTTTTGTTACCAGGAATGGACTCGGGACCTTGCACTTGAGTCAGGTGGCAGAACCACTGAGCTAAATTCCCTGGTGCTAACTGCTTATGTTTTATCTTTCTCTAAGAATGCAAATTCTATTAAGTCAGGCCTTTTTCACTGCCACATCCCCAGCAACTACATGGCACAGCACTACTCCACAGTAGTAGCCAAGTGCTTAATAATCCTTCATTGACTAATGATTTAAGAGTTTTCTTAAATATTTTTCCCACCTGATTTAAACATACTTAGGCTGCTTTTTTTTTTTTTTTTTTTTTTTTTTTTTTAATTAAGAGATGGTAGGGGCTGGGGATTTAGCTCAATGGTTCTGGCCCCTGCCTTGCAAGTGCAACAACCCAAGTTCGACCCTGGTACCAAAAAAAAAAAAAAAAAAAGATTAAGAGATGGTAAATAAAATTAAGTTCCACGGTAATTGTTGGGTTATTAGAAGCCAATAAACTTTGGTAACACAAAAGCAACACTTTCAAGTGAATTAAATATTTCAAACGAACAGACTATAAATAATGTGCTATTTACTAACTTTAAATTTCTTACGCTGAAAAAGACTATGTAACAAGCATTACTGTACATACAGAGTTAAAAGATGAATGTACCTTAGTCTTTAATTTTAAGTAGCTCATACCCTAGCAAACTCAATAGAATTGGGGCTCACATCCATTCCTCAAACTCACGCCCACAAAAAGATCCAATGCCTTGATCTAACTGAGAGACGCCTGTTTTATATTTTGTGAAACCTTTCCTTATACATTAACTCCCTTAATCATCATGAAAACTCTTGTTTTAATATGTATTCCCTCATTTAACAGATATGGAAATTGAAGGTATATAAAACTAATGACATGAAAGAATTCCAGCGCAATCAGGTCAAATGCCTTGCAAGACTTCAATCTCTGAGCCTCTGCCTCTTAATGGCATGCTTTTATTTCATTTATTCAACAAATATTTACTGAACACCCAATATATAGTAGCGCTGGATATGCAACAGTAAACAAGCTTACTCCTACTCCTAACACCACCAAGCTCTTATTTATTCCTGCTGTAAGATCTCAAACAAACAAATTTCTTCACTTCTCTATACCTCAGGTTTGTTATCTGTAAAACTGAGGCCAACAGAATGGCCTACCTGTCAAGATGCATACTGCCTATTCATTAGAGTGAAAGGATGCTTCTTTCTGTTTAGAATAAACATCAACCAAGACAGCTAAGTCACCCCCAAGAACGGCCCAACCTATGAGATCCCGCAACTATTCGGTCTCGGGGCCCAGGAACCTCCCTGGCTACACTCACGAATCCCCCTCCCAAACCTCAGACTTCTGCTCCTCCTTCCTGGCCCAGGGGAAGCCCAGCAGCTACCACCCGGAGAGGCTCGCACACCACCCCCCTAGTACTCCGCGGCCCCAAGGCCAGACAGGAGCCAGTCAACGGTCCAGGCCAGGGGCCCACCACTCCTGCCCAATAGGAAAGGAGGCCCAAGCCGGGTCCCCTTGGAGCTACTATTCTTCTCATCGGTCACCTCACTGTAGAAGGTCATAAATGCTTCCTCCGTGCTGCCTCCGCCGCCCGAAGCCCCACTCTCTCCCGAAGCCGCCATTTTCCCGGCTCAGCGTCCACGTGACGCCCTGCGCAGGCGCTCTCACGTGACCCCGCCCAGCCTGCCTCTCGCCCCGCCTCCCCCACCTAGGAATCCTTAAAGGGCTCGGGATCCCAAGTAGATGTTTTTTAAAATTGTGATAATACTTATAATTAGCTACTTTAAAGTGAACAACACAGTGGACTTTAGTATCAACAGTGTTGGGAAACCACCACCTCTATTTAGTTCCAAATCAAGCGGTTACCCCTGTCCCCAGTTCCTGACAACCACCAATGTATCTCTGTAGATTTGCCTTATTCTGGATATTTAACGTAGATGGAATTATACAATATGCGACCTTTTTTTTTTAATATGCTACCTTTTGTGTCTGGTTCCTTTCACTTAGCATATTTTCTTCTCTAATTTAGTACTAATGATTGAACTCAAGGCCTTCTCATTGAGCTATACCCATAATCCTTTTTCTTTTTTGAGCTAGAGTCTCACTAAATCACTAAGTTGCTCAGGCTGGACTCAAACTTGCTATTCTCCTGCCTCAGCTACCCAGAGTGCTGGGACTGCAAGTGTGTTCCGCCACACCACCGTTTTGTGATAATTCTATGTTTAATTTTTTGAGCCACCTCAAGCCCTTTCCACCTCAACTAATTCGTTTTACATTCTTACCAGCAATATATCAATGTTCCAAATTCTCCACGCCCTCGCCAACATTTTTTATTTTTATTGATTGATTTATTTGCTTATTCTTTGTTATAGTATTCCAGTGACTATATGGATCTGTTGTGCAAGCTCAGCAAGATCTTCCTTTGGCTGCTCAGCCTAGGAGATGATCAAGAAACAGCAGTATTTGAGAACTAGAAACAGTGTTGTTTGTTGTTTGTTTTGTGATGCTGGGGATCAAACTCGAAGCTTCACGTAAGCAATCTATCTCTAAACTACACCCGCAGCCCTAGAAACAGTTCTGAAAGAGGAATGACACTCAAAGATAGTCTAGAAACACCAAATTATAACTAGTCTTGTAAGAGATTATTATTTTTATTCCTTTTTGTTTTGGTTTTTTCAATTTTTTTTTGTTTTTGTTTTTGAGAGAGGGATATTCAGGCTGGCCTTGAACTCAGTGATCCTCCTGCCTCAGCCTCTACCACACTCATCTTTTTTTTTTTTTTTTTTTTTTTTTTGGTACCGAGGATTGAACTCAGGTCCTTGCGCTTGCGAGGCAGGCCACCAAACCGCTGAGCTAAATCCCCGGCCCTGCATCTTATTATTTTTATTCTCCTACTTTTATATTTTCTGCAATGAACACTTGAAGAGGTGGCTAGCAAATATTTCCTTCCATTAAAAAGTCATACAGGCCGGAGATATGGCTCAGTGGTTCTGCTGTTTGCCTCGCAAGCGCAAGGACCGGAGTTTGATCCCTGGTACCAAAAAAATTTTTTAAAAAAAGTCATACAAGCCGGGTGGTGGCACATGCCTGTAATCCCAGCACTCCGGAGGCAGAGGCAGGAGGACCGCTGAGAGTTCAATACCAGCCTGGGCTACATAGTGAGCTCCAGGTCAGTCTCAACTACACAGCGAGACCCTGTCTCAAAAAACAAACAATTAAAATTAAAAAATTTTTTAAAATAAAGGTCATACAAACTAGGACTAATATTTTCCCAACTAAAAGATAATCAATAAAAAACCAATTTTATTTAATAGAAAACCAGTCTAAAGCTGGGCGTGGTGGTGCACACCTGTAATCCCAGCACTTGGGAGGCTGAGACAGGAGGATTGCTGTTGAGTTCGAGACCAGCCTGAGCTACATAGTGAGTTCCAGGTCAGTCTCAATTACATAGTGAGACCCTGTCTCAAAAAAAATTTTTTTTATTTTGACCACTCATGGTGCATATCTGTAACACTAGCCCTTGAGAGACTGCAGCAGAAAGATGATGAGTTCAATGCCAGAATGAGCTGTATAACAAGACTCTCCCTCAAAAAAAAAAAAAAGTATTTTATAATAATAAACAAGACAACAATCTGGCCCAACTCTCTCATCTAAAGGAAAATAAATTGGGCGGGGGATTTAGCTCAGTGGTGCTGCTACCTGCTTCACAAACGCAAGGTCCCGAATTCAATCCCCGTACAAAAAAAAAAAAAAAAAAAAAAAAAAAAAAAAAAAAAGCAATAACCTAAAGGAAAAATAAACTGGGCCCAGACAGAGAAAATTACATAGGCAAGGTCTGTAAACTTCATACAGGTAAAGACTACTGTTGTCTTATTTACTTTTATTAGATGAGTGAAAAGGCAAAGTCTTCCTTAGTCTCCAATCACAATGTGCTACCAAAAGTTCAGTTACTATGCCCATTCAACAACACATTAATACCATTTACAAATATTAATTCACTACCTACTTAAGAACCTCATAGCTTCACAAGGTGAACCATGTAAGGAGGGAAGAAAGAGGAACACAAAACTGGGAGATGGGCTAGAATCGCTGGTGAATGATTAAGCATGTCAGGGAAGGTTTCTCTAGAAGGTGAAATTGAAGCTGAGATTCGACATTGAAACGTCAGTGCAATAAAATAACATTGGCGCCTCCTAACAGACGAACGCGTTTTTTTTCTAAATCCGGGCACTTTGGAGGTAGAGGTCCTGAATGTAAACATTTTAATCTTCCTTATAGACACCACCTTCACGATGCCAATCAACCAAGAAAGGGAAGGCTTGTTTCCCGTTTAATGACATGAAATGTAGAACACGCTTCTTTCCTATTGATGGGTCCAAGAACCTAAATTCCGGTTTCTGACGCTCTCCTCAAGCCCCTTTCAACCCTCCTTCCCCAGAATTCCCTTATCCTTTGGAGGGAACCGTTGTTCACGGTTGGCTAAGAATAGTCCCGCCTCTCGTTCAGGATTCGCTATAGACTCTAGAATCCCCGCCTTCTCGCCCTTCTGATTCGCCACTCACGTACGTCCCGCCTCTTTTCCAAAAACACTGGCTGCTTGGCCTGCCGCGCGGTTAGCGTCTTATAGATAAGCTGCCACGCCAAGTGACGAGGGAGTGCTGCGTTCTGAACCATGGCAGGTACGGCGTTGGCGTCTCGGGCGCGGCTCGGCGTTCGGGGAGTGAGGGCCATGCAAACCCGAGGCTTCAGCTCGGACAAGGTACGCCACGGCAGCATCTGCTACTCCACCCCCGAGTGCGAATCCCATCTTTGCCTCTGCACCTTTACCAATACCCGGGTCTTGGTCTTTCTGCACTGTCGCAGGATCATGAGAGTTCCGCCGGCTCGATCCGGGACGCCGGTGGGGCCTTTGGGAAGAGGGAGCAGGCTGAAGAGGAGCGATTCTTCCGGTAAGGCCCACCGAATCCGAAGTCTAGCCCTAGAGCTTCCAGTCCTTCTTTGGCTTTCAGTCGCCCCACCCATTTATGGTATCATGAGGCGTCCCATACCCAGTGAAACGGGCCCATTTAATCCCAGCCCTTGATCTCTCGGCCGGTGCCATCCATAGGGCACTGTCAGTCTCTTGCCCGACAGCACCTGAGTCTCAAGCCCAAGCCTTTTCCACCGTCTCCAGAAAGCTCGGTGCACGATTTGACTCCTCTGTTTTCATTTACCATCTCCTGGCCTCCGATCCTGGGCAGAGCGAAATATTCTCAGCATCTGGATCGTACCGTCCAATATTTGCAGACCCTCTGAGCCTTGTCACTACCTCTCTTCTACCCCACACGCCTTAGCTTTGCAAACCCACATCCATTGCCTCAATTTTCAGACCCTCTCAGCTGTTTCTAGACCCAGCTCCTCTGAAATGAGTGGGTAATCAGAGGAGGCAGCACCTGCCCAGGGTTGGACTCCACCTCCTCCAGGAGACTTTTGCCCTAACCTGGCCCAGCCCCTGGGCTAGAGATTACTTAGGAGTAGGCCTATCTCCTAGCTTTCCTAACTCAAATTATCTTTACCTGACTTCTCTCCACACTGGGGAACAGCGAGTAGCTAAATCTTGCTTTGGAACTAAATCTGGGTCTCCCTTGGTCTGTGCTCTAAGATTAATCATGGGGCTGGGGATGTAGCTCAGTGGTAGAGTAGGTACATAGCAAACAAGAATGCTTGGGTTCAATCCCAGCACCCCCCCCCACCCGGAAAAAAGAAGAAAAATGTGTCACAATGGTACCTACTTGCCATACCTGGAGTATGGCCCAGGGAGACCATCTATTCGGGCCTCAACAGTTAAGGAAACTGAACCCTAAATGCTGCCAAGCTGTCATTTTTAGCCCTTTATTGAAACTTAAATTGGACTGCTCAGCACTGCACTTGTAAGAGACCCCTTCTTCAGGGCCTTTAGAGTGGACCATGCATTCCTTTAGGCAAAGAAAGCCCTAGGCATATTGGGATAGGATAAGTTTACCTTGACCACATGTTTTTGTCTGTTCCCTCTTTTGCTTTTTTCCCCAGAAAGGGATCTGATTCTCTGGGCTGTTCATCTGATAAAGTATTTAGGACTAATGTCACATCTTTGGAGTTTTCTACTATATAGCTTATTATGGCCAAGGTATTTAAAATAGAAAACTAATAAGCATGACATTAGTTACCCAGAGTGCTAGTATGTTCTATTTCCTGTACTAGCATCAGGAAAATGGGATCATTTGGACGATCTTCCTTCAGAGGGAAACACCTTAATTTCCAATCAGGTGTTCTTTCACTAGTGGGGTCGAGGTAGAAGAGCACAGCCACCCTTTGGATGAGGGCACCACCTTAAGGAGTTCAGGTTATGCCTAAAAATCTCTTTGGGTGAAGGATTGGAATTAAGCCCTGAGCCCCTGTGTCCTTATAGACAGAAGACTAAAGAACAACTGGATGCCTTGAAGAAACATCACGAAGATGAGATCTATCATCATAAAAAGGCGATTGAACAAATGGAGAAAGAAATTGAACGGCATAAGCAGAAGATCAAACAACTAAAACATCATGAGTAAATGCACATGTTCCCCATAGAATGGCATCTGTCATTGCCCACTTCTACATAGGCATAATCTGGCATAATATTTGGTCTGTATGGTACCAACAGATAATAAATTGTCATCAGTGAATTGTGTCTGCTGCCTTTTTCTACTTTCTAGAAGGTGGTAGACAGATAGACACTACTTGTCTGCTAAAGTGAATTAAACAGATGCCTGCAACAGAGAGCTTACAAACAAAGCAGCATGATAAGTGTTGTGAAACAAGACAGGAGTAAGAGGGGAGTGGTGTGCCACAGATAAGGGGACTCCCCCAAGTCTGGCAGCAAGTGCTCAGAGAAAGCTTTGAAGGTTAGGAGTAGCCTGGGGAACACAAGGGTGATTATTTCAAAAGATGTAATTCAAGGCGCCATCAGTAATAACACTGGTTAACCATAAATAAAATGACTTAAAGAACTCATTGTATGGAATAGCAGCCAGCTCTGGTGGTACATGCCTATAATCCTAGTACTCTGGGAGGATGAAGCAGGAAGATAATAAATTGGAGTCTAGCCTGGGAATGGAACAACCCAGGGCCTTTGCATGGAACTGCATCCCCAGCCCTTTTTTTTTTAAATTTTGAAGCAGGCTCTCTCTAATTTACTACCATATCTAGCTAACATTTTTGGTACCAGGGATCAAACTCAGGTCCTTGCACTTGCAAGGCAGGCGGCAGAACCACTGAGCTACATCCTGGCCCTAGCTAACATTTTTAACTCAACACTTGAATACATTATTTGCACAGAATTGGGATGAGTCATTTGTTCTAAGACCCTGTTACACAAAGACCTTTAGAACAATTGAATGATAAAACCCTAGGGAAGCCAAGGCAGGTTTGGTGGTGCAAGCCTGTGATCTAGCACACTGGGAAGCTGAGACAGGAGGATCACAAGTTCACACCCAGCCTGGGCAACTTAATGAGGCTCTGTCTCAAAATTTAAAAAAGACTGAAGGAGTAGTTCAGTGGTACAGCGCTTATCAAACACACACAAGGCCCTGGATTTAATCTCCAGAGCTGCAAAACATCTCAGCTCTCATACAACTTTGTTATCCCCACCTTATGCTGTTTGTTGTTACCAGTGAAATCTTTATATATCGTTTCCTCGATACATACAGTTGTAATTCTTGCTTTGTGCAGCTGTCCTTTATAAGAATCATAAAAAGCAGGTAAAAACAAAAACTAGAGCCAGACATGATAGCATATGGTTGTAATCCAGCCCTCTGGGAGGCCAAGGCAGAGAATTGCAAGTTTGAGATCAGCCTGGCCAATTCAGGAACTTAGTGACCTGCCTCGAAATAAAAAGGGCTAGGAATAACACTGCCAAGGCCCTGAGTTTAGTCCACAGTCCTGGAGGGGAAAAGAAAAGGAAGCAAAAACCAGGATTTGGGACATAGCTTATTGGAGATCCATGCTTAGCATGGGCAAGGCCCTGGGCTTGATCTCCAGCACTGAGAAAAAGAAACTTAATACAAGGTGATTTTTGTGCATGTGGTTTTTGTTTTGCTGTAGTTAAGTAAAGTGATAGAAATGAAGAAACAGAAATCTGAAACTGGTTGCAACCAATTGGGTTTGAATGCCACTGCTCTCAGACCAGCAATATACTGACTTTTGTATTCACATTTGTAGTTGTATGGCTCTGAATTTCTGGCCAGTAGTGCTCATTTCAGCCCAAGGGATTCCTTTAGCCATCCACCCTCTATCCGCTCCTTTGCTGGATGGGACCACTCAGGTCCCCTCTAAGACATTAATCTAAGTAAATGATTCTAAAGAGCAGCCTCTAGCTTGTCTCCTGACTCTGGCTTCTTGGGAGATGGAAACTAATGTCATTGAGTCTCCTGAGCTCCAAAGACATTTGGGCTGGTCTCTTTTTTTTTCTTTCTCTTTCTCCTATTTTTTTTTGTTGTTGTTGTTTGTTTGTTTGTTTGTTTTGGGTTTTTTTGAGACAGGTTCTTACTACGTAGTTCAGACTGCCCTGGAACTCACTATATAGCCCAGGCTGGTCTCGAACTCACAGTGCTGATATTATTATTTTTTTCTTTTTTGAGACAGAATCCTGCTAAATTGCTTAGGCTAGGTTTGAATTTGGGGTCCTCCTGCCTCAGCCTCACAAAGTCTTGGGATTACAGGTGTGTGCCATCATGCCCAACAAGAAGTATAATACTAAAGAAAAGTAAAATACTGTATTTTACTTATTTATTAAAACAAAGTTGGACTGGGGATTTAGCTCAGTGGTGCCTCCCAAGCCCAAGGTTTCGAATTTGATCCCCAGTACA